CTTATGAGTTGGTTTTTAAAAAAAGGATATATGACTATATCCAACATTATAGCAGCTCATATTTATAGTTAGAAAAGGCCACACATCAAAATATATTCAGGTATAGGAAAATGAAATTGTTAGGATTGGAAAAGCTTTGCAGAAGAACTTTTTGCAATTTTAAAGCAAGAGATTTGCGGTTAATTTTTCTTTGCTCCTGATGGTTGATGTCTTTTAAACAATAAATAACATTTTCAATAAGCATTGAGACTTTTTCTGAGTGTTTAATAGCATCTTCAAAATTGTTCACCCCGAACAGGACTTGTTTTTGCTAGGAGGCAGTTGAGTTACATGTAATGGTAGCCTGTTTGTCACTAATGCTGTTTTATGACAAGCTGAGTCTGGTAATAGCAATCATAAGAACAGGTTCTAGCCTCTAATACATTCTTTTTTCTGCCTGAAATAATACCTCTATTGACCCTCATTCTCTTGGCAGGCACTCTTGCTTTCAGAATAATCTTTTTCATAAGTTGGAGTAAAGGTTGGTTCGTTGTCAGGACACTTGTGATATTTGGTACCAATAATGACTGTTAGCCAGTTATTAATCTTCAATTATTTGGCAGCCTTCACCCACTTCAAAGGCTAGACGTATGTCCCTCCTTCCCCACCTTGGTATGGGGAATACAGGTTCCCATCTGATAACTGAATTAGCTAGGCAGTAAAATGAGCTACTGACAAGACTTCTCAGCAGTTGCTATATTGGGGGGGGGGGGGGGGGGGCAGGATAGATAAAACCTAAATATGATTTTTGAGTCTTCATGGCCTCTTCAGCATCATGATTTTCAACAACTACATCTTTCTCCTTGTTTAACTTCATGGTTATGACACCAGGGAAAATATCTGTTGGCATTTTTTTTCCTGTTGTTCCCAAATTAGCATTACACTTACCTTCATGTTGATTCTTAAACATTTAAACTTTTAGCTTCAATAGGGATAATTGCATATTAAAAATTACCACAGTGTCACTAAAGTTTACTGGCATAATCTTGGAGAGCTTTGAGATTGCAAGAATGTAGGTGGAACACGCCACTTATCAAACCTGCCTTAGTCCCATTCCAGATTTTGGAGCAACAGCTTTTCCCAAGTTCAGTGCAATGTGAGACTGCCACTTCCCCCACTTATTCCTGCATATATTCCAATTATACATATATGCATACATACATGACCTGATAATGGAGTAGATTAAGAGCTAGTTAGTAAGCCAGAATTTCAAAACTACCTCCCTGTGTAGTTTTAGCTTCTTTGAATAATTATCTGTAACTTGTTTTCCACTATCTACTTATAACCTATAATCCCTTTTTGATTTTTCTTGTATTGGATACTTTTAAGTTGTACGTTAGAGAGACTGGTCTAAAATCATTCAGTGAGTTGCCATAACTAAGGCTGGATTTCAGCTTGAGTGTCTCCATTCCTGGCATGGAGCACACTGATTCTCAACAGGTTAACAAGCATTTTGGGGCTACTTAGGAAGGAAGGATAGTGAGATCATTTTAAATGATGGGGAGATGTGCAGAACTTGCTGCCCATTAAAGCCACCAACAGCTACATGAAGTGCAGTCAATCACAAGCAGGAATACATTGGAAATTCAGTGGTAGCTTCAGGAATCTACTGGAAACCAAAAAGCTGAATTTAATTTGCCAGGCTGGATTGCTCCCCCAGCATCTAGTTCTATGTTTGGAATAAGAGAGCCTCCACGTTCTGAGCAAATGGCAGGAAGCGAAAAGGTTATCCTCACTTTTGGTTCCATGCATAAAATCCATCTGTAGATGGATCATGTATCTGGCATCTGCAGTTTAAATCTTGGTGCTAATCATGTGACAAACTATTCCAAGATGCGGCAGCAGAACACTGCAAAATAATGTGAGACAACAAAATAATACACAAGAAGTAACAAGAAATTCACTAAGCCATCAGCAATATTTTTCATATAGGCACTGAATGGGATTTCTTGAACTGCAGACCAAAGCGCTAGAAATTTCTTTTATCTCATTGCTTTGAATATGACATCTGGATGAGTTAGCCCTTTTAGATTAGATTACTCACGCATAAGTATAGAAATAGGATCATGTCTCACAGTAGCACCGAGCAAGTGCGACTTTTGCGCTTGCAACATCTTGGAAGAGAAGCATAATTTTATAGTTATATGGCAATTTAAAACAGTAACTGTAGATCAAATTAGATACACATCTTTGGTTTAATCACAGAAGCATAAAAATGCAAAAGGTTTCTGAACCAGATGGAAAATGTATATAAGAATTACATTCAAACATGTGAAAGATTACAAAATATGCATAACTGCAATAGTACGCAATAGAACACAAGACTGCTTCTCCATAGTTTTTAGTCTTTATTAGCAACAATAAAATGGTGTGTATTTACAAAAATACAAAAGCCACAACTACTAAAGGTTGTAAAGTACAATCCTATATGGAATTACCCAGAAACCACACAGTGTTCAATCGAGCCAATACATTACCAAGTGCGCTCTGCTACTAATGCATTTAGGCTACTACCCCTTCTGGCTCATTTCACCTCGGTTTAAGCATAGTCTTCAACGGCAACTGAAGACATAATAAATACCTGCTCTGCAGGCAGTTACGTATTGCAGTACAAGCACTGCAGCCCTGTATATGTCATTTTCATTATTTATAGTAAAATTTTCCTAAAATGATCACTGATGCATGGCCCTGCTACTTGCCAGTTCCCAAGCAAAGTAAGAATACCATTTAAAACCCCTTATTCTTATGTCAATATATAGTGCACTCCAAAAGAAACAACACATAAATATTGCAGATTAGTTGCCTTTTTGACACATGTGATTTGGTAGGTCATGTGACTCGCATGTCTAAAATGTACATTTTAATACATTCGGGCAGAAGTGCAGTGGGTGCATTAAATTAAAGGATTTAATAGAAGGTGGCAAACATCAGATAGTTGCAACATATTTTTCTGTTAATATTCTAATATTATTTATATGCCTTTTAAATTATTTTTATAAATAGCACAAGGTGAACAAACCTAACATTCCTCCTTTATTTTCCCCACAGCAACAACCTTGTGAGGTGGGCTGGGCTGAAAGAGAGTGACTGACCCAGTCACCCAGTTGGCTTTCATGCCTAACGTGGAACTAGAACTCATAATCTTCCTGGTTTCTAGCTTGGTGCCTTAGGCATGAGACCAAACTGGCTCTATTGAGAAGAATCTATTTTGATTCATAAAATTAAGAGGCAGAGACTTTCAAAACCAGTATAGAATAAGAAGAGAGGTTTTCGGTGGGTTTACTCTTCCATAGATTAAAGGGAATGATGCCACTTTATTGAATCACAATACATAAATTTGTTGATTGTTCCACACGCCTAGAAAAATCCCCTCATTCCCATATCCCTCTGCAGAGAGGATACAAACTACTAATGTGACCCTTTGAATTCCAAGTTTTTACTTGATTTCAGTGCAAAGTGGGGTGGGGTTTTTTTGTATTACAATATTGCTACAATTTTCTGCTCATTATGATTGCTAAGAAAAATTTGAGGTAGAGGCAAGTATCCAAGCAAGGGCTTCTCAACTGCATGGGAGAAATTCATTAAACAGGCTGGTGGATCAGGGCATGCCTGTCGTTCCTTCCTTCCTTCCTTCCTTCCTTCCTTCCTTCCTTCCTTCCTTCCTTCCTTCCTTCCTTCCTTCCTTCCTTAAAATCCTTACACTTTTTTCTGCTAGAACTTGTAACTGCTTTTTCTCATTAAGATATACTTTCTATTTTCTGAAGGAAATTTCTAGTTTACAGGTTCTTGGATCCTACCGGAAAGCTATATTCGCCTATTGGCTGACCTTTTTTTTCAACCTACAGTGCAAATTTATGATTTTTCCTGTATCTTCTACATAATACCCTCTTTACAAAACTAAATATGTTAGGAGAATGGTTATGATTTTCAGGGTGGCTCACCACTCCTTCTCTGTGCTTTTCAATTTCTATGCATCATTGAACTTTACCCTTATTAAATTCCATTTGTAGCCTTGTTTTCCCCACAACAACCAGTGAGATTAGTTTGGCTGATTTTTGTCCTAAATCCGGCTGCTCTATGGCTGAGAGCAGACTTTATCTAGTTCTCCTCAGTTCCAGCTCAATCTCTTTACTAACTATATCATGCTTGCTGTCTAAGCTATGCATTTGTTAAAAGGGGAACTAATGAATATAAGGGTTAGAGAATTCTGACAGAGAAACAGAAGAAGAGATACTTACTTGATAGGATGATGGTGAAGGATTAACCTACCGACCTAAATAAATAAATATTGAGAATTTTGAATTCAGGACACAGATTAGTGGAGGGATTAGAAAAAACACATAAACCAATCAATATTTTAAGCATAAGCTTGCTTATTCATCTTAATAATTTTATCATCTGTGATCTGATAAAGCAAATAGAAAGTTTTTTTAGTTGACCTGTGTCTTGACCTAGTTTGGATCAAAGGGCAATTTGAGAGAGGGTAGCAGTAGGAAAAAATCTAAGACAGGAAAGTCAGTCTCACAGTCAATATTCGGGGGATATAGAGCACATTTAAATTTACTTTGCATCCCTTGCCCGGTACCCTAGAGCAGTGATGGCGAACCTTTTAGAGACCGAGTGCCCAAACTGCAACCCAAAATCCACTTATGCATCATCAGGTGCTGGTGGGTGTGGCCCATTGGGTGGGCGTGGCTGCAGTAGTAACAGCAGACTGGGTGGGACTAAAAAGTTCAATCAATTCCAACTTTGCAAGATTTTTTTTTCCCCGTGAGAAGTTGAAATTGACTGATTGAACCTTTTTTTTTCTCCATGGCGGCGGAGGCCTAAAGTGAAAAGGTTTTATAAAACCCAGCTGAAGGCCTAGGACTGGGGCGATGGCGCACATGCCCAATAGATTCGCCACCACTGCCCTAGAGCAATCCAAGATAAAAGCAAACTTGACCCAATCAATTATTGTGGAACTCTCAAAATGGAAGTACTGAAACTCTGGCAACTCCATCCACAGGTCCGGTCATTATAGAACTTGAGAGCAGTTAACTGCTAGGTGTATTCTCTATTCAGCTGTGGTCATTCTGGCCAGGACATTCCTCTTCATTTATGAGTAGCATATAGTTCTCTTCGTGCCGAGTAACATACATAAACCAACTGGGGAAAAAGGAGATAAGACATACTAAGTTAATTGAAAAGAAACATGCCATAAAATTGCCATAAATTGCAATGCAAAAAGCCTAGATTTCAGCATGAAAGAGACACAATCTTTCTTGTCTTTGAAGTAAACTGTACCATTTTTAGATTAAGACAAAAGGTGGTTCTAATCTCTTAAGAGCATTTTAGACACTTTAATATGCATGCACCAGGACAGCAGACACATTAGAATATTTGCGGAGGGGGACGACCAAATAGACAACAGCAAATTTCAGTGGCTATTTAGAATATTATAACTTAGTGGTGGGATTCAGCCGGTTTGCACCGGTTCGGCAGAACCGATACTTAATGTATCTTCAGTTCGGTGAACCGGTTGTTAAAATGGCACTTGAAAAAAGCTGAGTCCGTGTGCGCATCTGCCTTGCGCTTGCCCCGCGTCCGCCATGCTCTCCACGGTATACTGCAGCTGATCTGAGGCGGCTGGTCAGGCACAGAAGCACCGCCGAAAACAGCAGAGTCTGTGCGCACCTGCTACACGCTCACCCCTTACGCTGTGAGTATCATCGCATTAATCGTGCCGGTTCCACCACTCGCAGGAGGAGGCTGCGAGGCTCATTGTGCCAATCACGCACTGAGTCACGTGACCTCCTGCAGCAAGCGGTGCCACCGGCACGATAAGCCTCAAGGCGTCCTGCAGCAAGCGATGGCACTGGTGCAATCGGCACCCAGCAGGAGGTGCCTCCACCCATGCCACAGCCCTGCAGCAACCTGAATCTAGGACCTATGGAAACCCAGGAGGAGCCTGGCAGCAGCTTGCCTGCACATTCCTTGACGCAGAGGGCTTGAAGCCGGGGTACTTCTGCCAGTCAGCAAGAAGCCGAGCCGCAAGCGCCGCAGCAGCAGCAGCCTACCAAGAAGCCGGCCTGGTGCCTAGCAAAAATCTGCACTGCCCACTTCCCTCCATGCCTCTCCCTGCATGCTCAGCCTGCTACCCCTCAATTCTAGTCGGGTGATCGATTTAGTGAAGGCACGGGGGGGGAGGTGGGTGCTGCAGATTCCCTGTACATGAGAAGTTGGCGAAGGAGGAAGGCAAGTGGCAGCCCCAGCAGCAAGGACCACCGAAAAGAGCGGAGTCTGTGTCCATGCCTACTACATGCTCACCTGTCGCACTGTGAGGATTGTCACATCGATTGTGCCAGTTCCACCCCTTGCAGCAGGAGGCCGCAAGGCTAATTGCGCCGATTGCACGCCGAGCCTCACGGCCTCCTGCAGCAAGCGGCCACACCGGCGCTATGAGCCTCGAGGCGTCCTGCAGCAAACGGCAGCACTGGAGCAATCAGTGCCCAACAGGAGGTGGCTCCACCCACGCCATAGCCCTGTGGCAGCCAAATCTGAGATCTATGGAAACCCAGGAGGAGCCCGGCAGCAGCTTGCCCGCACATTTCTTAACCCAGAGGGCTTGGCGAAGTTGGAGAAGGAAGCAAGCGGCAACCCCAGTGGCAAGAAGGGCCGCCGAAAAGAGCAGAGTCTGTGTGTGCGCCTGCCTTGCCCGAGTCAGCCCTGCTCTCCACGGCGCACTACAGCTGATCCGTGGCGTGAAGAGCATGGCTAATGGGTGAGCTTGTAGCAGGCTGCGGCTTGCTTCCTCCTTCGCCAGCTTTTCATGCATGAGGAGGAAGGCAATTTATTTGCAGCTCATCTCCTTTCAAAGTGACTCTGGGTGGCATAAAAACATTAAAATAATCAAGGATAAAATGACAATACAAACAACATCAAATCAAAATAAAATGACAATACATTTTCTATAATAAACTGAAAAACATGACTCTATACGAATAATGAGAATTGGATACAAAAACTAAAGTCCCTTTTGTATGGAGATAACATTTCTGGGAAATTGCAAAACAGATTCCAACACTACAAAATGCATGATCCCTGCTTACCTCATTAAACTCAATGGAATTATGCAGAAGCCAGCTGATAAGAGAAAACTGAAGCCAGGAAACCATGCTACAGTCATTGAATAGATGGTATTAAAAACGGCAATTGAAATGGTCCCAGTCACAACCTCTAAGCAGGCAATGCAAGCAAATAAAGCTCCTGTCAAAAAGAAAAAGAAAAAAGAAAAAACAGATTACAGAGCTCCAGACGTTTGTTTGCATGTGCGGTGTGTGTATGCGCGCGTGTGTGTAACTACACTACACTACCAGAAAGATGACAACAGAATGGCAGGACTGATTGATTTAGCTGTCTGCACATACCATCCAAGGCATTTCTCTGACAGTCAGGCAAATGTCTGAACCACACAAATTAGACCACAAGAGTCAGACCAAATAAGCTGGTCTATCTGGCTCTCCTTCCTTATAACACAGGTTCTGTAAAATATGCTAGTGTAACTTTCCCCCAGCCAACACTTTCCAAATAGGACGATACTACTATCCCTACAATCATGGGCCACACTGACTGGAATTGTTTTCTATGATTTCTGTAATGTGCTTAGTTGCAGAATGGAATTAGCAAGGCTGGTTCTCATATGCATTTTAACAGTATTAAATCTGGAGCTATCAGTGCAAGGGTGGGCAAACCCCTTCAGCTGGAGATTTGCCTGGCTGGGGTCTGAAAGAAATATGGCTGTCACCATAACATCCACTGGAGCAAGGGTAGAATTTTGGGGACATTAAAAATAGTTGGAGGGGGCAGTCAAGGAAAGAAATCAGTGCCTTTGAAAGAGTTAAGGACTCCATTTTTGTCCCTTAATCCTCACCTACAGGAAAAATAAGTCATTCTGATTTTGGATTGGAAATCCAGATTTTTAAAGGGGCGATACGGTTTAAGTTTTTGGAAGATGCCCATTTTGTCCTATAAACCTTCCCTTCTCAATCCCATATTTAATTCTGTTCACACAAATTCTGGGGCAGCGTGCATTACGCTTCCTTATCCTACTGCTGTAGTAATTAGAGTGTCAGACTAGGTTCAAATCCCTAGTCAGGATTTTTATTGGCCCGGACTCTGTATCTCAGATTGGTTTATCTCATAAGATGGCAGTAAAAGTAAAATGGAAAGGGGATATACAATGTACATCTTGAAAAAAACAGAATAGAAATCCAACCAATAAACCAATTAGTTTTTGAGCAAATTAGAGTTGCAACGTATGCTGGGCGACTTATTATTTATAAGCTGGAAACTGATTTTACCCTCCCAGACAATTATTACCCTCCCAGGTCAACTGTTACACCTTGGCAGATGGATACCATAAAGTTAAGCACAATAAAAAACATTGTGAATTGTGTTTAGATACAAAATGTGCTTAAGTATGCATTCCAAGATTGATCTCTGCTATTAGGCTAGCAGAAACTTTTCCTACTTTCTACATTACACTCACAAGTTTAGTAAAAAAAATTGCTGGTCTATGATTGAATAAAGATTGACTGATTGATTGGTTGATGAAAGTCTAGTATGCAGGATACTTCATTTTCCTAAGAATCACCACAACATTTCAAAGATGGCCACCAAATTAAGCTGATGAGGATACTCAATGCCATGAATCTGAGTATCCAGTGGCCGAATGGGACTTACGTTCACCAAATGGAAATGGGGTTGTTGATGCTGGAATTAATTAAGATAACAATACAATACAGAGCTGTTGCTTCAGGGAGAAAATACAAGCTGACAGATCCAAGGAACTTCTTTGGATTCTTTTGACATCTACAATTCTTTAGCAGCACCAACTCACCTTGTTCATTAGGAAGAACTATTTTCGACAACATGGATCGAATAAGTGGAATGGGTATAAAAAGGAGCATCGATGGTACTCTCGCTGCAAAATAGGAGTCACAAAAGTCAACAGTCTTTAACGTAATTACCCCAAATAGCTAATCAATTTATACAGGCTTTAACTGTGGGCAAATAACAGCCAATAATTATCTGGGTAACAAGCATGGTGCCATCTTTCAGAAATCCTCATGGATTTAAAGCAGGGAAAAGGTGCCCTCTACCAAGTTCATTTTCACTACAGCTATTCCTCAACTTATGATCACAATTAACCCCCAAATTTCTGTTGCTAAGCAAGACAGTTATTAAATAAGTTTTGCCCCGTTTTGGACCTTTTTGCCACAATTGTTAAGAGAATCGCTGTAGTTATGTGATTCATTAAGTTGTTAAGCGAATTGGGCTTCCCCCATTGACTTTGCTTGTCAGAAGCCAGTTGGGAAGGTCACAAATGGTGATCACATGACCCCAGGACCCTGCAACTGTCATAAACACATGCCAGTTGCCAAGTGCCCGAATTCTGATCATGTGATCATGGGGATGCTGCAACAGTCATAAGTGTGAAAACCTGTCATAAGCCATTCTTTTCAGTGCCAATCTAACTTTGAACAGTCACTAACTGAATGGCTGTAAATTGAGGAATACCTGTATCATAAGCAATATGTTTGTTCACTTAGGAATTTTGTATGAGTAATCAAAGTACTCGCCAAAATAATTTAATGTATATCTCTTTCAGAAGATATTAGATATTACTTTGTGTGCACATTTTCAACTGTGGTATGTGGTTGAACCTAAAGTTGCAAGGTACTATTCATGACAGCAATATAAAGGAAGGAACATTCAGATTTTAAATGCAATAGAAATCTGGTAGGTGTTGTTTCCCCAGAGGCATATAACACCAGTCATGGTGTAGGTGGAGTAGAGCATGGTAGAAAATGGACAAAAGTTATAAAATATATTATTAAATTAATTATGTTATCTTACTCAAAAGCATTGTGGGGACAGTAGTCAAAGGAAATGGAAAGTTATCACATTCTCTGAGCTGACAAACTAACAGAATGAAATCTATCTAGTTATAGAAAATGACTGAAAGACAAGAAAATAATAGATGTAACATAGCCAAGTATCTGCTGTGGGCGCCTTCTGGTTATGCAAATTAGATTGGGGACAGGAAGTGGAAGATTCAGCTCTATTTTCCACTGAAAATGTGGCAATTAGCTACATTTTATTTTTAGTGCTAGCTTTCAGGGAGTGAGTTATAGTACTACTATTTCAAGAAGGTCTTTTGGTATAATTTATATTAATTGTTGCCTCTAGTAGTTTTGCTGTTTGCTGTTGTTTTATTGTAGCTTATATTTTATGATGCTATTATGTTGCCTTACAGATCCTAAAACAGGGATCCCCAACCCTTGAGTTGCTACCCATTACTGGCCCCTGGCCCATTCGGAAATGGGCCACGCATGTGGCAGGCAAGTGTGCGCACAGCTCCACTTGCATAGGCAGCAAGCGCAGGCATTCACACGTGCCTGCCACTCACAAAGAACCATCCCCTCCCCCCCTGCTAGTCCACCAAGCCAGAAAGGATGGGAACCACTATCCTAACAGGATGGAAATTGGAATTTGAAGCACATTTTTAAAATATTACAATCTTCATTCACTTGCATACTACAGACTTGGAGTGTAGAGTTTGAACCTTGCGTAGAGAATGTCCTGGTTAAATGCCCTGGCATTTCCAATTAAAAGTCTGGGCAGTTGACCACAAGAAAGACCTGAGTCTTGGACCAGTGCCATGAATAATGTAGAAAATAACAAGCACCACCAATGTTCTAATCACCTACATCAATATTTCTCAATCTGGGCACCTCTGAAATATGTTGATATCAGCTCACAGAATTCCCCAACTTGGAGAAATCTAGGAGTTGAGATCCACATATCTTAAAATTGCCAAGACTGAAAAACACTGATCTACATTATCAAAAATTTTTACCATCACCTTTGAATTTAACCAAGTGAAACTTACCCAACATCATCAACAACGTAGTGTTGGCAAAGGCGGCCATGATACTTCCTCCCATATAAGAGAAGATTCCAATAAAAACAAGGTAGCTATCTCTCAGATACTGAGAAAGAAGAACAATCCCTAGGAATCCAGTCACAGAGACTGAGGTGGACACAGCTGAGCCGTATCCTATATAAATGGCATTCCAACAGAGGGGGGCGTTCAGCTCATATAACACATAGAGACTAATCCCTCCAAACATTGTGAAAAGGTAAGTCATGAATGTACAAAGCAGCAAGATCATTAAAATTCGCTTCTTACAGGATGAGGATTTAAAGAGCATATATACTCCAGAAAGAGTGTCTTTAAGACCTTCCCGCCAAGACTGTGTCTGGAATGCAGAGACTTTCACGGTTTCATCCAAGCAAAATATGACATAAAAAATGTTGACCACGTGAAATAGAGAAATCATGGCAAATGTCCACATAAAGTCTATTTCTTTTAGAATGTACCCCGAGATCAATCCTCCCAATCCAGATGTGAATCCAAAGATTAAGTCAACCACGGCTATTCGGATGGTCTTTTGTCTCTGAGTCTCACAGCAATCAACTACAAAGGAAAAGGCTCCTCCAAGAAAAGTAGCCAAGTCTCCAAACAGTCCACCAACCAAGGAGAAAACAAAGAAAAGGTACAGGGGCAAAGACAAGTCTGACATAACAAAGAGGAAGATGCTGCTGGTAAGACTCCCCACCAGGGGAAGAACCAATGATATTTTGCGTCCATATCGATCTCCATTCGCTACTAGGACAAAGGCCACCAAAACGCTGAAAACTGCCCCACATAAGTCTGTTTTCATAGCAAAGAGGGAGGTTTTTTCTTGGACTTCCTGAAAGAAAATAATATAAGAAGAGAGAGAAATCAGTCAATGCATGCATTATAATTCAACATCTGGTCTCATCTATAAATAGTAATTCTGGTTTACTACTAAAGCTTTGTGTACAGAAACCAGCAATCAAAGATACTATGACATATTCTAAAGCCATTGCTGTGATAGTTAAATAGCCAACACATTAAAAAGAGTCTTGTAATGGTATAATAGATTTATTAGACTAATCTTGTTATGTGCTAGGCTCCATCTTATTATCCAGTGTATGAAATATTAGCTGACAGTAAATTACTATCTAATATATCTATCCTGGATATGTAAGTAGTTTGTATGTAGTGTAAAACAAACTATGGAATCAGCACACTTTGAAATGCAACAGAAACTATTTGTGACATTATCCAAAGTGTCCAAGTGATTAGTGTTCAATTTTCTTAGCAGGTGAATAGGTTTGAATCAAGTATGTTCTATTTTTTATCAACTTTATCCAGCTGAAATACTGTGAAATCCCTGAAATATTCCATTTCTTTTAAGATGATGTGAGGGTTTTTAGTGTTCACTATGCCTCAAGCAATTTGAACAAAACAGCCAAAGTAATTGGAATATATGTTTCTTTAATGCCAGCACATTGTTCTAAATTCAAATTAAATACAAAAAAAATTCTTATACCAAAGGATTGCTATAGACCAAAACAGCCTGAACTGAGTATAAGAGATTTCCCAGAGTTTAAAATCTGGTCTTTCCCCATCTTTATCTAGAACAGGGGTGTCAAACTGCCAGCCCGTGGGCCAGATGCATCATTCTGAAACTGTGCCCACCCCAGCTCCGGTAATGGGGAAAAAGTTGCGATATGTTGCAACATGTCATGTGACATTGCGAGTTTGACATCCCTGATCTAGAGATATCAGGGACTGTAGTTTGGACCTTCTGGATGCAAAATCCAGCCCTGGAGCTATAGTTGTGCCCGCAATGCAAACTACAGCTAAAAAGCATAAGCGAAATAAGAAAAAAAATAACAAGGCCACAAAAATGATGATCTGAGAACTTGGAGGAGGATGAAAATGTAATAGCAAGAACAAAGATTTAAGGTTATCTATCACTGTTATTTTTATATTATTTTTGATTCATACATTTAATCACTTCAGTATGGCCTCCATCTTTTCTTTGGATATGATCATCACTGATTGTGTGTGCATTAGACAAACAAACTCCAGAAACTCAGCTAATATAAAATTGAGCTAGCTTAATTTAGCATGCCATTTAAGGAAAATCAATGTGGCTTGAAACATAGTTACGGAAATTATGCACTAGTAACTTTATATCTGCATATCAACCTTCACCAATCTGGTATCCTTTAATAGACTGATGTAGCAACTGTTTCCTGGCAGGATGGTTAGAAATCCTAATAGCTGAAACGTGGACACATCAGGCAATACTGTACTGAGTTTGGAAGCCATGTTGTAAAGATTCTTTGAGCCAGTTTGACTTCAGGGGCCTCCCGGGACATATTTCTATAGTTTATTTGGCAGCAGTATGGCAGTAGGCTTCTGAAGTAATGAAAAAAGGTGCAAAAGTATTTACCCCCAATTTATGTAAAACCCTGAAATGTTCTTGAGAATTCTGAATGGAGGTGGGCAAAAATTTGGCAACCAAATTACACTCAGGTACTGAGTTGGATCTCATCGTTAGAAATGCATGTGCATCCGAAATTTATTCAATTAGATAGGATCATAACATATAAAAATATTTTAGATGAAAGAGGGGAATTGAAATCCAGGAAAACCCTCCAGGATGAAGGGATAGATCTAGAATGGTGGGCGTACCTGCAGCTACAGGCGAGATATTGGAAAGATAAAAAAGAGTTAGGCATTAAATTAGAACCGATAGAATTGGATAAAATAGTATTGGGATCAG